CATATTTTAAAGAACTATGATCAAGGTTTTCCCAAATGTGACATCAAATCCTAAACATTTTTATGAAATGTCCAACAAAGTTGTGAAGCTGAGAGATTTTTCCAAACAAATAATATTTTTTTTGATTAACCATGCTAGAGGGAAGAATCATCTTCCTATTCTCCTTATAGAAAATGTTACCAAATGACCATATGAAGAGATGATCAAAGACAATTCAGCCAAAATATGTGTGTTGGGTAGTTAATTAATGGAAATGTTTTGTAATGGTTTTTGCTATGTGTGAGTTTTTAGTGTGTGTAAATTGTTGTGATTTTTTTCCTCTCATTTTAAGTGAATATCTTTTATCTAGTTTTACGTTTGTAATTTTGCATTTTTTTTTGTTAAAGAAGGCCCACCAGTTGTATTGAAGGTCCACCAAGCTTATACGGTTTGGTGGGCCTTCTTTAACAGAAAGAATGAACAAACAGCTTTTACAGGACCTGAATGTACCCTGACCATGCTATGTGATTTGCTTACTTATTTTGTTCCTCAAAAGCAGGAATCTTAGTTCACTGGTGTATCTTAAGCACCTGAGCAATGCTCGGCACATTGAAGCTACTCAGTAAATATTTGTTGAGTGAATAAATTGATCAACAATATTACAATAAGACATTGGTGTGGGACACCTGGGTGGCTCAGTCGGTTGAGACACCAACTCTTAATTTTAGCTCAGGTAATGATCCGAGGGTCATGGGCTCGAGCCCCACAGTGGGCTCTGCTCTGAGTATGGGGCCTGCTTAAGATTTTCTCTTTCCCTCCCTCTGCTCCTACCCAACCCACATGCATGCATGCACACACACTCTCTCAAAATAAATAAATAAACTTAAAAAAGGAAACATTGGGGCGCCTGGGTGGCGCAGTCGGTTAAGCGTCCGACTTCAGCCAGGTCACGATCTCGCGGTCCGTGAGTTCGAGCCCCGCGTCAGGCTCTGGGCTGATGGCTCAGAACCTGGAGCCTGTTTCCGATTCTGTGTCTCCCTCTCTCTCTGCCCCTCCCCCGTTCATGCTCTGTCTCTCTCTGTCCCAAAAATAAATAAACGTTGAAAAAAAAAAAAAAAAAAAAAAAAAAAAAAAAGGAAACATTGGTGTTAATCTAATTTAATCTTCTTAACAAAAGTTAATATTGACATGACAGAAAGTACAAAGACTGTCGTTCATGGAAAACACTCCTTACAACTTTTTACTTGTTGTAACTAGTCACGGAAGTAAATTCTTATTCATAGGTATTTTCTTCAGTAGTCATTAGCTACCATGCCTTTTGAGAGGATCTGGATCACTTTTTTTTTTTTCTTTTTAAAGGTTCTATTATTTTTCTCCTTAGGACCCAAGACTCGCCTCAGCTAGCTTTTTCCATCATCCCACTCCAATGGTAGGAATTTAATTTTAGAGCTGTCAAGAGGTGAGGCCATGCAGAGAGCCACTGGGAAGCCAATACAGCAGTCGGTATTTCTTAAGCCAATGATCAGGCAGCAGTAAAATAAAAGTAGACTATTTTTTTTATTTTTCTATAGCTAGTCAATCACAGAAACTCTGCTTAGAAAGCTATCTTTGTTTAGACATTGAACAATAGAAGTAAAAATACTTCTCATGCAAAGGAAGAGAAAAAATAATAATTAGATTTTAGAAAAATGGGCATAGTAATAAAGATCTTAAATATGAGAGGTAGGCCTTAGGAAAAGCAGAATCTCATAAAATTTCGGCTTAAAGAATTTTAGTTTTTATAATAATGCAGAAAAACAATACATTACACAAGTGACTAATTGTCACACTGTTTGGCAGTTAGCTTTTTTAGTGTGTGTAAATTGTTGTGAAAGGCTTCTTTCACTTAAACACCTAAAATTTTATTTAAACCTAAAAGATTTTTTTTAATGCCTTTATAGAGATTTTGGAGACTAGAGCCTTTTTTTTTTTACACTTCTATTTTTACATTTATTTATTTATTTTTGAGAGACAGAGAGAGTCAGAGCACAAGTGGGGGGTGGGCAGAGAGAGAAGGAGACACAGAATCTGAAACAGGCTCCAGGCTCCAGGCTCCAAGCTGTCAGCACAGAGCCCGACCTGGGGCTCGAACTCATAAACCATGAGATCATGACCTGAGCTGAAGTCGGACGCTCAACCTACTGAGCCACCCAGGCGCCCCATTTTTTTTTTACACTTCTAGACCTAGAAGGGCAGACTTCTTACTGGTAGTAAAGAAAGCAGTGAGCTACTGAAGGTCTTAGATGTTGGCCAACTCCTATTTGCTCTCGCAGTTTGGCAGTTCGCTATTTTCTAGAGCATTAATTTTCTGTACTCTGATTCTACGTCTAGCAAGTCTTGACAAAGGAATGTCAATAAGTCCCCCAAACTGAACTTTTGTCAACACTAACCTTGCAGAATGTATGACACCCAGAATTGAAACTATCTTTGCTAAATGTCACTATTATTTAAGAGCTCTGTTCCAGGTTACCGCCCTGAAGAGATTGTTGGGAGAGTAGGATTCTCTGCCCACGTTATTTCCTGTAGGCTTGTAGGCAACAGTTGAGTTTACAAAGTTCCTTGCAAAAGTAGAGAGATTTCTTGCTCAGAATTGTGTATGTACTCAAAAACGAAGTTTTAAAAAATCCCTGTTAGCAAAAGATGCTATAGGGTGTGGGATATCAATGTACCAAGGCTGACAGCTGCATTATCTCCACTGGACTATCAGCACAGTGAAAAGCACTGAGTAGAAAAAAACCCACAATTCTTGAACATTATTACTCATATAATATTATGAGTATATAAATAAATATATAAAAAATATAT